TTAATCATATATTTGGGTTTTCCACAAATATGATTATAAGTAGTTCACACCATTTATCATTGAAACATGTGTAAAAAAATAACACTTTTATTATATTAATCTGCACTTTTGTAAACTGCACGTTTATGTTATTAACTTTCACTTTGTTTTAAGAAAATCCTACAATGTGCATTTCTAAACTCAACCAGATGGTCTTAAGTAAAACGAAAATAAATATACAAGAGTATTAACCAAGAGTGCACTTCAAATGAACAAAAAAAGTGCACTTTCGTTTATACAAAAGTGCGAAATTATATCACACTTTCTAGGGTTTTGCATACACATTCTTACACAACACAATGCACTTTTATCATGTGCATTGGAAATACATACAAAAGTGCACTATTATAATAAACTTTCTATAACTTTACATCGACATTTTTTACAAAATCAAATGCATTTTTTCTTCCAAATGGGTCACAATAATTGCTCTATTGGTACTGCATCATATCTGCAAAAAAAAAAAATTAAAACCTAACGGAAATGTATGACCAAAACATGGTAAGTGCATCAAAAACTTTTTCTTCAATGAAGATCTGCAAAAACTAAGCGATCATATTCAAATGATTATGAATCTAATCTAGTAGGAGAAGATAAACTGTAAATTGATGAACATGAATAGTAGGAACAATAAACTTAATAATCAGTAGAATCCATGATTATAGAGATATAGATGTTAATTATAAGTTTGATAAACTTCATAAAAACAATTACGCAAACTAAATCGACTTATTAGCATCCATAGAGAGGAGATAATTTTGTTCCAAAGTCATCCTGCTTGAGAAGAGTCGATGATGAAGATTAGCAATGGAAAGAAACGTGAATTGGAAAGGAATTAATAGAGAGAATATTATCACTTCCTAAATAATAGGTAAACGGTTCCATAATAAAGATGAGCGTGAATTGGAAGGAAATGTATTGACTTCAATACCCTCTAGGAAGATTTAAGCACACGGTTAATTAGAAGTTAATCTAATGGCTCACATCTATTCTTTTTTACTCTCCTAAGATTAAGTTCTCACATGATCTTAAATCTATATATATATATATATATATATATAAGTCGGAGTTTATCTGATCGGATCGGATTACACCAGACCGGATTTAAATAGACCACACCAAACTAATTCACTTTTTCTACTCATATCAAGAAAATGTGATACTCCTTACAAAAAGTTTGATTTTTAAAGCTACACTATCAATAATCTTTTGGTTATTGAATGTTTACAAAAAGTTTAGTAAAAGATTTAATGTTCCGCAATTGTTTAGATATGTTGTTATTATATTCATAAACCCAAATATATTTTTGTTAGCACGAAGTTATTCCAAAATCGCCGAATTAATGTAACCTTATGCTTTTAAGAACTCATCACAAACTCTTCAATGTTGTAAATCTGAGTTGCTCGAAGTATTCATTAGATCTTACTGTCATCTAATAACATAGTTAAGTATGCAAACTATGCATCCCATGCAACGCACGGGTAAAGAATCTAGTTGAAATATAAAATTCAAAATTCTATCTTCAAAAGAAATTTCTTTTCTACTGGATCACGTTTATGCTAAAAAGATATATCAAAATTTATAACTTCTTATGATCTTTCATATGAAACCATTTTTGCATATAAAATTATTAAAAAAAAAGTAACTAAAGATCATATGGAAAGCATTAGCCGATTTTGCCGACCTTTCACAGGTTTTCCGGACTCTAACAGGATTTGACCGACCTGGATGGAAAGCATTAGCCAATTTGGAAGGATTTAAAGAGAAGTTCCAGAATGATAATCTCCGATTTGCGCACATCAATAAAATTTGTATTGCTAGATTTGTTGCTATTATTGCCTATTAATGCTATTTTCTTTGAAGGCAACTCAAGCATTTATCGCAAATTTGTAGGAATTGTTAAATTTGATGCGATTAGTTACTCATATGTCTTTTAATCTGGTAGGTTTTGGCTACTGTGTCCCTATCATGTAATTTCATTTTATTTAATAAATGAGTAAGGTTGATTTTAAAAAAATGGTATCCAATTGAAATAAGAAGTAAGGGGTATCAAAGTTCAAAATTCCATATCCAATCGATATTTCTTTCTCACTAGACCAAGTGTAGGCTAATTTGTTTTATCAAAATAAATAACTTTTTATAAACTTTCATTTGAAACCAATATTGCATACGGAGTATATTATTTTAATAAAAACATCTAACTATCAAATATTAAAATAATACTCGCACACTCTCATAAAATTCTTCTCGGTTTGACTTGGATCGGAGTTTAAAAAGGTAGGAAAAAGTCAAAATGTATGATTTTTTTGAGTTAAAAAAAGGTAAATGGATATTAGTCACACAAAATTTTTCAAAAGGGGAAATGCGAAGAATTTGTGGGACGTTCCAAAAAGGTAATTGAGAAGAATTTTAAGGGACATATGGATCGAGTATATGCAATATTGTTGTTGTATGAAAGATTATAAGATGTTATGAATTTTGATACTACATATATCCCGTTGAAAGATTCATGGTAAGACTACACGGTTATTTAGAAAATAATTAAATAATATTGTTCAAGTATATTTTGAGAAATAATTTTAGTAGGTATATAATAGAATGTGGTTAGTGTTTTTTTAGAAATAATGTGGTTAACGTTGATAACTGTGATCGATGCTATAAATGTATTATTTTTAATATTTAAAGATTAATTTGCAATTTAAGGTGAGAACATTTATATGGGACGTCCAAAAAAGAAAGTAAAAAACTTTTCTATGAGACGAAGGGAGTATATCTTTTAGCCGGAGATTGGTATGGTGAGAAAAGAAATTTCGATTGAATATAGAAATTTGAATTTTGATACTACGTATTTCAATTGTACACAATATGATCTTTAATCTTTTTAAGAATTATATATGCGATTTTGGTGTCATATGAAAGATCATTAAAAGTTTTTGTTTTGGAACATTCTTCTAAAACTTTTATAGTATCTGCTCATGTTAACGCCAACATCCTTGATTGGGATGAGACTCGAACCTGCCATCTGTGGCAGTGATGCCATCAGACCACAAGGTACTTCGCAAATCATTAAAAGTTATAAATTTTGATATATTTTTTAGCCTAAGTTTGATCCAGTGGAAAAGAAAATTATTTTGAAGATATAAATTTGAATTTATATTTCAATTAGACATCATATGGTGATCAGATTTTATTATGAAAAATTATAAGCAATAAGAATGTCGTATGAAAAATCATAAAAAATTATGGATTTTGATATATGTTTTATGCAAATTGGAGCAAAAAAAAAAGTACGGAGTAATAGCGATTACAAAAAAGAGTTTTTGTTATTATGGGACCCATCTTTTGCACCACTTACGCATTGCATTGCACGCAAATTATACCGTGGGATCATCCCACGGTGAGCATCGTGCTCCAAGTCCAAAACGGTGTCGTTTTTCATTAAAAGAAAAATTAGGTTCTTACGCCATATTGTTTACTCGTATTTCGAATTTCTGTTGCAGCCGACTTCGTTCTTCCGTTTTTCGTTGTGTTCATTGCGCTTAGGATTCCGATCTGCCTTCAATGGATTTCTCGCTAGATGATTTGTCTGTTGCTAATTCTTCGATTGAATTTCACGATTCTATTCCTGTTAGTATTCATGACAACGTGATTCATTCATCTGGTGACAATAATTTGGAATGTGATCAGCCTGTTAATGTCGAAATTATTGGTAAACATTACAGTTTTTAGTTTAGTAAATTTAATTTCTCTTATTTATGCTTTCATTATGCAATAATGTCTTTCGTTCTCTGTTTTATATTATTGTGTGAGAATTTGGATTGTTTTTCATTGATATTTGTTGGGGTTTGTTTTTTCCTTTCAGGTGAAGAAGAAACTGTTTCAAGGGCTTTCAAATTGTTGCATCTTCTCAGTAAAGGTACTTTTCCTGTCTTGTGATTGAATTTTTGTTTTAATTTTTTTTAACCCAATATTATGTAAGTTTAGGTCATTTGTATGTAATTTTTGTTTGGTTTTATGGAATTTAGTTATTAACTCTGGTTTATATGTATACAATTAATATTCAATACTATATAAATTCTATTGAAATATATGGAACTTCTTTTCTAGTGTATGTAACATGCGCTACATCTTATGTAACTTTGTGTGACTTTTGTGTAACTTTATTCCTATTATGTGAAATTTGCTGTAAATCATATGTAAGTACACTTTATCATTATGTTACTTCTATTTTGGTTTTATGTTTCTTCAGGTTAGGTCCATGTAACATATGTTAAATATATTTTAAGTTTCATTCAATCCTATGCAATTTTTTTTATGTGACTTCAGTTCACTTTTTATGTAACTCTATACGTTGATGTATGTAACATTAGACCAAGTGTATGAAACTTATGCTCAATAGTATGTAACTTGAATTTAATTTTATGTATCTTTTTTAAAGTGGTTTTTTCATATACCCCCTTTGTTATTTGTCAGATACATTGGCAACTGTTGACAAGGCAACTGAGTGTAAATCACTTGTTGGAGTCACTGTTAAATCTGAACAGGATGCTTATAATCTTTACAACAGTCATGCTTTTGAAAATGGCTTTGGTATTCGAAGATACAAACAAAGGTTTAGGAGTGGCAATGTAAGTTTGATTATGAAGTCTTATTGTTGTTGGAAAGAGGGGAAGAAACTACAAAAGGGAACTGAAAACAAAATGTATACGAAATTAGATTATCGTTCAGGTTGTAAAGCAAAGCTGCAGTTTTCTATTAGTATTGAAGGTGAATGGACTGTTTCCAAGCATATTATTGATCACAACCATTCTTTTTGTCCAATTGGTCAAAGACACCTTCTGAAATCACATCGTGGTGTTGATCATGAGTATCTTGAATTTATTATGTTGATGAAGGAGAGTGGGACAAAAGTTTCTGATATTCATCGTATGCTTCAAAAATAGGCGGGTGGTCTTAGTGCACTTGGTTTCACCAAACGTGATGCTTATAACGTTCTAGAATCTGAAAGGAGTAAAACGTTTGATGGTAGTGATTCTAACACTTTGATTTCTATATTGAAGAAAAGGGCTGAAGTGGAATCTGATTTTTACTTTGATTTTGAGGTAGATGAAGGTGTCCTGAGTTGTTTTTTCTGGAGAGATGGGCAAATGAGATTAGATTATGAGAGGTTTGGTGATTTAGTTGTGCATGATACAACTTACAGGACTAACAAATACGACATGATTTGTGGTCCGTTTGTTGGTATGAATCATCATTGTAAGAATATTATGTTTGGTTGTGGCTTTATGTTGAATGAAAAGGTTGAGTCATTTGTTTGGTTATTTCAGACTTTTCTGAAATCTATGGGCAGTAAACAGCCCATCACATTTATGACAGATCAATCATTTTCCATGGCAGCAGCTATAAAATCAGTTTTCCCTGAGTCAAGACATCGACTATGCACTTGGCATATAGATGAGAATTCAAAGAAACACATCATGTTTCTACGCAAGAAGATAAATTTTGTTCCTCTATTTGATTATGTTGTGAAACGATGTGACACGGTTGCAGAGTTTGATTTCTACTGGATTGAGTAAGTTATTTGTATTGCGGTGTAACCTCTTATTGATTTCGTGTAACTTGTTTATTGCGTTAGTGTAACCCGTGTTGGTTGTATATGTAACTTTGTATTGGTTTTTAAATTCGTTTCAGGTTGAACAGATTGTATGAATGCAGTGATAATAAATGGTTAAAAAGGCTCTACAGTCATAAAGAAAAGTGGTGTCCTGCATTTTCAAAGGATTATTTCTCTGGCGGCATTCTATCTTCCCAAAGAAGTGAATCTACCAATAGATCCATATCCAGAAGACTGTCAAAAACTGCAACTTTGTGTGACTTTTACAAGATGTTTGGTGATGTTGTCGATGAGTGGAGGTCAGAAGAAAATGGTGAAGATTTCAGATGTTCAGAAGGCACCGTTGAGATGGTATTGCTACAAGATAGTATGTTGTCTCATGCTAGAGATGTATACACTGTTGAGATATTCAAACTGTTTCAGGAACAATACTTGAAGGGCATGTCACACTTTTTTAAATTAAACACACAGAATTGTCATGATTATGTGTATCATGTTTGGTTGGACGGTGTAGATTTGATTAGGCACAACGTTGCTTTTAATGGAAATGACAACACAGTGACTTGCACTTGTAAGCTGTTTTCAGAAGTTGGCATTTTGTGTAGACACATATTGCGTATATATAATGTCCATTGTGTGAAATATATTCCTGAAGTTTATATACTGTCTAGATGGACAAAGGCTGCTATTTTGCAAAATGTTAGTCCTCCTTTTACTCAAGGAACATATCTTATGTGTGGGAAAGTAGTTGAAGATTCTGTTTGGAGAGTGCAAATGACCAGGAAGTTCAATGCTATATTAGCTGCAAGTGCTGGTCTACCTGAAGCTAGGCAAGTATGTGAGGAAGGGTATAAATCGATCAAACACTCTTTAGATATTCAAAAAAGTGTTTCTTGTGGTGATGAATTTGGTTCTGCTCCAAAGACAATACTTGATCCTCCACGATCTCGTCCTAAAGGTGAGCGAAATAAAAGAAAAAGAAGCATTGTTGAAAAACAATGCAAAATAGTCAAAGCTCGACGTTCTAAATCTCAAAATGTTGCCAGTAATTCAAAAGAAGTTGCACAATCTGTTGTTCAGGTATTTACTTATTTGTATATTTGTTTCTTCTTTAATTCACGTTTTCTGATCATTACTATTTGTTTTGTTTTAATTCTAGGACACTGTCAGTTCTATGGTTCCACAAGGTTATCTTGTTCATCCGGTTGGAGGAATCACGACTTTGATGAGTGTGTTTGGATCTCCACAAGTTTTGGCTCCATACTTCATGCAATCTAATGCTGTGAACCAAATGCAGAATTAGTTTTATTTTAATTTTTGTTTTTTATAGTAGATACTTTTTCAGAGACATGTTATACCTTTCTTTTTGTTTTAATGTTAATGTTGGAGACATTACTAGAGGAGTTACATTTCATTTTAATGAGATTTACATTTCGTTTAGTGGTTGTTGACATTTTGTTATCCTTTGTTTCCTATCATGCTTACAGTCAAATTTATTAGCACATTACTGGATGAGTTACATTTCATTTTAATCAGATTTACATTTCGTTTACTGGTTGGTGACATTATGTTATCCTTTGTTTCCTATCATGCTTACAGTCAAATTTATTAGCACATTACTTTAGAAGTTACATTTCATTTTAATAAGATTTACATTTCGTTTACTGGTTGGTGACATTTTGTTATCCTTTGTTTCCTATCATGCTTACAGTCAAATTTATTAGCACATTACTGGAGGAGTTACATTTCATTTTAATCAGATTTACATTTCGTTTACTGGTTGGTGACATTTTGTTATCCTTTGTTTCCTATCATGCTTACAGTAATCTCAAGTTAACAGCAAGTACTTGTCAAATAAAAAAATTACATCTAAATTCAATAGCAAGTACATCTCAAATAAAACAAGGTTACATCTCAAGTAAAAAGAAGTTTAATTTTATAAATACACTAACAATTACTACTTTGTTGTTCGTTATTCAGTGCTATCTTTGATAGTTTACATAAGTCCCCACTCGACTTACATTTTTCTTATACGTTTTTTACATAAGGTATAACTGAAGTTACATCGTGCAAAAGCAGTTGAATAAAGCACTCCAGAATCTATAAAGTAATTTTTAGTAGCATACTGAGACACAGAAATTAAGAACTTCATAACATATATATATATATATATATATATATATATATATATATATATATATATATATATATATATCATGCATGCAAAATTATAATAAGCCAAATTGATCAGTTTTCATACATGATACTTGCATAATGTACTACAATAATAACAGACCTGAAATCATGAAATGTTGAGAGAACTACATATCTCTTAGAAATAAATGTTCTGCCCTTGCCCAATTTTAAAAGACACCCATAATATGAAATAATGTTGGAGACAACTTCCACTTTCAAAACAAATGTACTTTTCACAAAAACCAGAATACTTTACACATTCATGAATTCTTTTGCTCTTTTAAAAACATTCTCCCTTTCTCTGTTGAATTTTGAGCTTATGACTTCTGCTGCATAGACAAGTCGTAGCTTCTTCAGAATTTGTTTCTGAGCTTTTACTCCTGCTGGTTTAGATGCAGTTGGAAATCCTGCATCCCAGTTGTCTCCTTGTCCGCGATAGGTTTCAAGGTGACGCATTACAAAAATGCCACAATCAACATAATTCCCATTGTACCTCCATGGCATATTCAAGATTCTAGGGTTCCATTTGTCTATTTTTCCAGCTGGATGGTTCACCTTGTTGCAATACTTCTTAAATCCTGCCACCTATTTTCAGCCTATACATTAGCAGCCTGATACATTTACATTAGCAGTACTTGTGGAATACATGAATATAAGTTTACCAGTTGGTTAAAGCTTTCCTCATACTTATTATTAAACTCCACCCCTTTCTCAAGCTTCCTATTGTCAATGACATCTACTATATTCTTCTTTGTGTAGAAGCAATAGATATAGTAGTGATGACTTTGGTGTACAGGAATCAAGACCTGCAAGTCATAACAAACATTCATTAGTTAATTGTTTCATGGTGAATCATTTTGTTTAACTCTTTTCAGTAATAATAACATTTTACCATATCATAATCTTTGAGATTTCCCCTTTCAGCAACTTCTAATTCTATTCTCTCTACCATCCTTTCTTCTTTGTCTGGATATTTCACTCCAAACTGTGCCTGTTTATTATCAACCATTGAAATTAATCAGAATAATCAATGTTTTTCTATTTATTGAATGTATAAATAATATGATACATACATAGACCATGCTAGAAAGTATTAGGGCACGATGTGGAGGATTGTTCTTTGGTTCTCTGTCATTGAGTAACTTTACCCATGCATCTATAACTGAGTTGTCAAGATGTTGTTCTTCTTCTAGTGTTTGGAACTCCTCGTGGTTCAGAAAAAGTCCACACTCATCAAGATACAGCATTTCACTAACACCATAACACATGTTAGTAAACAATTGATTGATAAATTATAGTTTTACATTTGAGTATATAAAGTTACATTTTGTGTAGAACTAGTTACATTTTATTGTAACATGGTTTACATCATTGTTATTTTCATTAAACAGGCAACCAAAAACCTCAAATTTAGTAAGATTCAAAGTATAAATTATTTAGTGAAATAATGACATATATAATAAAGAATATCTTACTTTCCAGCTTCCTTTGAAAATCCATAATCAATCACTATTTTCTCTTCCTTCCTCATCTCCTTGCACAACCTGTGGTTGTGTTTTAGAAATGGTGACCTGAATTTCCATTCCGTGTCAGCTGCCTTTTTGACCTTCTGTTTTTTTGCCACAGGTGCTGTGATCTTGATTTCTTTTTCTTCTTCTATCTCCAGCTCTTCAGTCAGAACATTCTGAGTTGGAGTTGTATCAATTGCTTCTTCTTCAGTCACAACATTCTCTTGACTTTCCCTTTCTCCTTCCATCATTCCTCCTTCAGCTATCTCAATCATGTCTTCTTTGTTGTTCTCTTCTTCTATGCTTCTTGCAATCTCCATTATTGGGTCTTCAGTCATTTGAGCACCTGGATTCTCATTTGTTGTTTTTTCATTTTGTGAAGGCTGTGTCATGCTAAACTCAATGCCCAAATCAAATGAAGGCATTGAGAATTTCAGATAAGCAGCTTTTTCAAGTTTATCCAGGGCTTCCATTACCCCTGGTATATTGAAGAAATCGTCATCCTCATCAAGAGTGCACTTCTCAGCCAACCTCTCTTTCGGTTCTTCCTGCGCACTACCATTAGCTTGTCTGAAAAAGTAGTCAGCTGTTGTCAAGTATATCTTCTTTAAGATATCAGAATTAGGAAATTTTTTTGAAATTGTTGCTGGCAGTTTTGAGAATTCCACAAAAGCATCACTAAACTTTTGTGCAACTGCAATGATTTCCTTGACACAGTCCTACAAAAATTGAAATTCATTTGTAAGTTTCATATGCCATTAGATATAAAATATAAGCAACAACTTCAATGTTTATATTTGACATTTGCAGAGGTTACATATTGTGTTACGACAGTTACATCTGTAAAGCAAGTAATCTACATATAGTGTTTATTTAAAATCTACCTCTTTGGAGATGATCTCTTCCTCTTCATTTTGATCTTCATTTGCTTCTTCATTTCCTTCTGTTTCTTTTTTTTCTTCATCAATTGCCATAATTCGTGGCACCACCTTTCCGAGCCCGAACCCGAGTTTCCTTTCATCTTTGATTCTCTTATCAATTCTTTCCTTGTTCCAGAATCTAATTGTTGGATAAACAGTATCCATAGCTTGACCTTTGAATTGCACTCTATCAAAGTAGCATATCATCAGAAACAACAAGGGTCCAGTGAACATCCTTGATGTATTAGCTTGCCATTCTTCCCCTGCATCCATTAGTGATCGCCTTGTATACTTGCACCAGTTCAAATTCTTGATTTCATCAACTTTTATCAAAGACAGCAAGATCTTGAAGTTGCTCCTTATACTCTGATTACCCCTGATGAGGCATGAAACTGTGAAGACAACAAAATTTCTCTTGAAATCATCTCCAGAATCAGCACGATCAATGATTTTTTGTATCATCCTTGTGGTGTCCGGGCTTCCCTTTTCTATTCCCCAATCCTCTCTCCACTGCTTCAGCAATTGAATGTACTCTTCACTTTCGTTTTTGCCATTTGCTTCTTCAACATCAATCTTTCCCATTGGCAAACCAAAAACAGCTCTAACATCTTGATCTTCAATATCCAACAACTCACCATTTGTGAGTTGTAGCTGTGCTGATATTGGTCTTAAGCTTTTCAATAGAAATTCTACAAAGTCTCCATGAAATCTGTCAAAGCTTAGTTTGAGCAAGCCTCCAAAGCCAATATCTTCAATTGCTGCTCTTTGGTTGTCATTCAAGAGTTTAACCAACTTGATAAATGGAGCTGGTCCTACTCTGGTCCTTAAGTTGACGGCAGTGTTTCCATCTATTTCTTCAGCATGCTTTTCTGATTCTTCCTCCGCTACTATATCTTTTTTTCTTTTTCTGCTTGTTTTTGGCTTGTTGTAAGTCAACAATTGCAATGGTTCTTCAGTCTGAATTGGTTCCTCATCTTCCACTTTAAAACTATCATTCTCTGGCCTTGCTGTGCTTCTTGTGCTTCTTGTACTCCTAAAATTATACAGAATAACATTCACAAGTCATTATCACTTTAATGTATCATTATGAATTTATATAACCCATAGCACGATTTACATAATATTATACACTAGTTACATAATTTATAGCTCAAAGTTACATGTTATGCCCTTTGATGTGATTCAGTGCTATATTTTAAAACTTAATTACCCAACTCCTCAAAAAAGTTGTTACATCTTACACATGAGCAAATGCCAAGTTACATACTAAAGCTTAAGTTTTACATATTGGCTATCATATTTTATAACAAAATATTTACATTGTTTATAATTACATTGACAAATTTAATTTTATAATTACCAATTTAGATAAGTTACATGATTTTATACAGAATTTCATAATTTATATCCCAAAGTTACATGTAACCAAACAATTACAAAAGTTACATATCAATATACTTATGTTACATAAATACTATCTTTACTTTACATGTTACACAAGATGTTCAATAATCAATTATGGCTACAATACTTGCAGGGACATAGTAATTGACAGAGTGTGCATACTTCAAATATGAATATACATAATGCTTACAGAAGTGGAATATGAATTTTGTACTCCATGCATGTTATATATTATCATACAGAATTTACACAAGTACTCAATGAAGTTACACCATGCACAAGCACTTTGAAAAATGTTCTCTGGACAACATTTGCATTCAAGTAATACCTTATAGAGTTTATATACTTGATAATTTAAGTAAACATCAGGTATTTTGACAGTTTAAACACAGCCAGATGCACATTATTAAACAAATATTACTTTGCTTGTATTTAGACGTAAATAACACATTGAGTTCATAAGACACATATTTTCATTAGAAAAAGGTAATCGCATCGATTATTATTTGAGTCGATGTTATCGTTTATACCTGACATCGGATTTTTCCTTAACCCTAACCATTTTGATTCACTTGTTGCTGAACTTGATGTGCAAGTTGATGCTGTTTATTTCTTTTTTCAAAAATAACTTCGTCGAATAGTTGAACTTGCTTCAGAAGAAATGCAGAGAGAGAGATTTTTCAGAAAGTAAACTTCTGGAAATGTTTTGGTTTTCGAAGAGAAGTATATGTCAACATTGGGAGTTGAGAGCATAAGCAGCCGGAGGGAAAAGTTGGTTGGGAAACGATCCGTTTTTTCGCGTGCACTTTATTTTTTAAATTAAATGTATTTTAATGTAATACTACGTCGTTTAGGTCGCGGGTGTAGGATGCTGAAGATGGGCCGCTCCCACGGTATACGGACTGCACGGACATTGTTTCTAGTTTTTTTACTCGTAAGTTATGAAAGTCAGGGAGTGTTTGTAAATGCTTTTGCTTAAAAAAAGTAACTCTTGAAATGATTTTGGAAAAAGTGATTGATAGTAAAAGTTGATAGTGTTTGAAAAAAGGTGATCTTGAAAAGTAAAAGTTGATAATTTTTGGTAAATCAAGTGTTTATTGTGTAATAGAAAAAGTAAAAACATTTTTCACATAAAAATCGAGAAATGATTTTTTAAGTAGAAATTGTCACTTGAAAACACTAATTTTATCTTTTTTTAAGTCAAAAGCCGAGAAACGCCTTTTTTAAATGATGGCAAACACTCACTTATATAAGTAGCAATATTTTGGAAATTGTTTTTAACTCAATCCTAATTTCGTACACAATAATTATTTATTTAAGGGAAAAGGGTCAAATAGGCCCTCGAACTTAAATAAAAGGTCAAATAAACCCTTATATAGTAGGCTCTGTCCGGCCGTCGCCATTTGGGGCAGTTCCTGGTGTAATTTTTTGATGAAATTTTTTGAGCATCTTATTCATTAAGTCTAGTTTACTCATACCAAATTTCAGCTAACAATTCAATCGAGAAGGTATTCAAATGAATTCTTGAAGATATCTTCCAGATTGAATTGTTAGCTGAAATTTGGTATGAGTAAACTAGACTTGATGAATAAGATGCTCAAAAAATTTCATTAAAAAACTCCACTGGGAACTGCCCCAAATGACGACGACCGGATAGAGTCTCCTATATAATGGCTTATTTGACCTTTTTATGTAAGTTCGAGGGCATATCTGACCATTTTCCCTTTATTTAATTAACATTAATTAGGGGGGAAACTCTCAAAAAAAACTTTAACATTAATTAACATTATTTAAAAAAACATTAATTAGGGAAAAGACTCTCAGAGCTATGATATCTAAAATCAACATCCTAATCAACTAGATATAACAGATTATATCACGCACCAACAATAAATTTCACATAAAAAATATTATATAAGTAATGTGAATTGAAAGCACGGATCCAAGAGATTTTAAAATATGGAAAGTTCAATTTTATTATGAAACTATGCCACTTCAAATTTTTTTTTTGGAAAGATGCAACTTCAATTTTATTAAAAAATACTCTTAAATAATCTTGTTAACTACTACTAATAAAAATAAAGAAACAATATCTACCAAATGAAGTGGGTCAGTGGCACTCAGTGCCTTATCCATTTCATAAAATGACAGAGAAACAAAGGCACACCATAAGAAGAGATGGGCACAGAGGTCAGCACTCAAACCCATCACCACCAACACATATTTGAAAAAGAAAAGCATCAAAATGTTAAGCCTGGCTGCCATTGTTCCGCAACTCAATCACCCATCCTTCTCTTTTGCTCGCTCTGACTTCAGTGGCGCCAAGCTAGCTGCCTCTCCCCAGTTAATTAACACAGGCCTCTCTCAGGTACCATTAAGTAGACTGGCTGCATCAACCTTATTTTAAAGCATCTCTGAGATTGTTAGGTCATTAGGGATGGAGTTGGTGACTTGGGGTTATTATTTTTAGAAGCATAGTGGATGTGTAAGAGTTATTCAGTTAGATTATTTGTATCAAAATGTGAGTCAAGATTATTTAATTTTTTTTGTAACACTATTTCAAAAAATGTGAATGTAGCACGAATAAAAGACCACATTTTTAGAATATTAATAATAATGTGACATTAATTTAGAACTTAGAAGTAGAGGCCACCACAAATTTGTAGGAAACATGAATAGTGTGGATGATCTAACATGGATGGATCATGGGTGTGTGTGAGACTGTGAGGGAATCAATTTAAACAGTTGTGTGTTCACAATTTATTGATCTGTATAAAGTTTTTTTTTTTTTGAATATTGATCTGTATAAATTAAGTTAGGAAATTACTTTAAATAATATGGAGTATCATTTGTTAATTGTTGACTGCCGAATTCTATCATTAGAAATGATAAATCAATAGCATTTTTAGATATTACTGAAAACAATACGATCTTTAACAAAATTAAGCTAATGGACTGACACGAATAATTATAATTTTTGCTTATGGACTGAAAATAATACTACTAAGTATTGGCTTTAGACCAAAAACAATTCTTACATTGCAATCTAATCATCCTCTGGTGGTAATGTAAGTGCTTCGACCAGTTTTTTGAATGAAAATGTGCTTAATTGTATTGTTTTTGGTATGCATGGAATACATTGGGTATTAATTGTAATTTTTATTCTTTCGATTACTGCTAGTTTATAGCCAATCGTTACTACTCTGTATCATTTTAAGTCATTTTTCCAAAACCGCTATTTGTATACACCACATTTGTATGACACCTTCGCCGCTTCGCAGCATAATTTTGTTATTATGGCAGGAACAAACTTGTATGTAAATACACTTTGTCCATAGACAGTTAAGTTTGTGTTGTGTATGAGTGTATGACAGTATATCAAAACAAAACAAAAAATTGTTCTAGTAAAGGTGGAGTGTACAATTTGCATAATCTGCTTCTTTCACCATGTTAAGATCACAGTACTAAAGACATTTTCACATATTGTATTTGTAATACTGCTTTAATGAAAGTTACATAGTGTATAAAATTACATGAGATATATACTACCTCCGTCGTCCCTAAAAACTTTGTCATCTTTAAAATATTGACCAACTATAAATTTTTATTAGAAATTACTCCCTCCGTCCCGTTGGAATGTTCCCGTTCGGTTTACGATGCTTGACTGACGATAAAGCAACTCGATCCCTGTTCACACTCCGCTTATTTTTAGTAAATAAAATTTATATATTCAGAAACTACATTAAAACCGCTACAAAGCCTGATCAAGAAAAGTTCAATTTGATAAAAATTTGATATATAAAGTAAAAGATTAGGAGTGACCTAAGTTGACCAATGAATAGTGAACGGGAACATTCCAACAGGACGGAGGGAGTATTTATAATATAAAAATGATATGAAAATGTTCCTTGTTAAAAGTACTTTCAAAAAGTATAAAATTTATAACTTCTATAATACATAGTATTAAACTAATCAAAATCATGGTCCAAATTCTTACGAGGTAGTATAAAATGGGACAGGTGAGTATGTGTTACTCTCATTGCAAGTGTAAAAGGACTGAAGCTATATATTTTTTTTTCCATGTGAATGTAGTATAAAAGGAAGGCATGTGGGAAGCTGCAGGTTTCGGCAAGTTCCAAGAAGATCCTTATAATGGGAGGCACCAGATTTATTGGTATCTTTTTGTCCAGACTTCTTGTCAAAGAAGGCCATCAGGTTCATATTCTGTGCCAAACTAGTTTTTGCATTGGAAAATATCTATTATGGTGCGCATTGATATTAAGCACTGTATAGGTTACTCTGTTCACAAGAGGAAAGGCCCCAATTGCACAACAGTTGCCAGAAGAATCAGACAGTGACTTTGCTGATTTCTGCTCCAAGGTTGTTGTGCCAATTAATCAATCATCTCAAAGAATCATATGCCTTTCTTGCTTCTTCACTTGATCTTATAGTTCCAGTATTCTGAGAAAGCCTTTTTTAGATATTGCACTTGAAGGGAGATAGAACGGACTATGATTTTGTTAGGAGAAGTATCTCTGCTGAAGGTTTGGACATTGTGTATGACATAAATGGTAGGTGTGATGGTTAAACATCATCTTTGTTTTGTAAATAAGTTAATAGACCTAATAACATAACATAACCTGAGTGAGCATTAACTTTAAAACATAGAGGTTAAAAAAAGGTGGTATGGGTGAAGATGTTAAATCATCACATATTCACATGTAAGGTCTTAGACTACATACTCCTATTGAGTAGACATTTTTGGGATGTCACCTTAAGTCTTCATACCATATCGCAGCTCATTAAATTACAATGAGCAATTCAATCTCGGCAAGTCTGACCCAACGATGGGTAAATTCGCAATGAGAGATTTAACAAGGACTTCTTATTCTACAATTTGAATTGCATGCCTGAACCCTTGATTTCATTTTTTCTTTTGAGCTTGACAAAAATCCCTTGGAAATTTGGAATTGGAAACGCTTTTGCTGTAATTTGCAGGACGGGAAGCAGTTGAAGTGGAACCCGTATTGGATGCATTGCCTAATCTTGAACAGTAAGCTAAGCTGCTTATAAGAATTGAGACGTAACATTTGTTTTCAACATTATAACTTAAAAAGTCCGTTTGGAATGCAGAAAATGATAAGAGAACAAAATGACAATTTTATTCGATAAGTATGGAAGAAAAGGAAATGTCGAGGAAATTTAAAAGTTGTTTCAAACTCGATAACTTTATTTTTAATAAGGTTTATATATAGTTTTAGTCCCTGCAAATATGGCACACTTTGTTTTAGGTCCTTGCAAAATATTTTCTTTGTTTTTCATCCCTGTAATATGCGTTATTTTGGTTTTAGTCCATCTCTAACTCCAAAACAACTACTACCTCCGTCCCTTAAAACTTTGCCAAGTTTGACTGGCACGGGGATTAATAAAGTAAAAACTGTGTGGTTGAGGTTTGTGCAGAGGAGAGAGAATTAACTGGAACCACAAATTCTTTACTTAAAAGGGAAAGTGGCAAAGTTAATGGGACATCCAAAAAAGGAAAGTTGGCAAAGTTTAAAGGGACGGAGGGAGTATAATTCAATTTTTTTATTGTCAGTTGCATAAATCTACTAAAAACATTTAAATTCATCAGTTTATATTTTTTTCTTACACTAATAAGAGAGTTAAAACGATATTAAAACTACTTATTTGCATTTTTAAAATATGTATTAAAAACCTTTTAAACAATGAAGTTAAATACTTTTTCAATGGAATGACAAAGAATTAAAGGATACCTATTAGTCGATTTGTTTCGTTGTTAATCATTAGTCATGGACTAAAAAGAAAACCAACATAAATTTCAGGGATGGAAAACAAAGAAAATATTTTGTAGGGACCTAAAACAAAGTGTGATATATTTGCAGGGACTAAAAACATATTTAGACCTTTTAATAATTGTTTGAAGTCATTGTATCTATTTATCTCTATCATAAAAATACTAAGGAATTTAAACGTATGTCAAAATAATGATAACATTAATCATACATCATTTTTCTTTGTATTTTGTGTCAAATCCAAACATTAAAAAATGACTTTCTTGAACTTTTTCTTCCCTTCCCCTACTATTTTCTGGGATCCAAACATAGCTTAAGTTTTGAGTTCTTTAATCAAGTAAAAATAGACTGCATAATAATATCGTATTACAGAACCAAATTTTCTTGTCCACCAGCATTTAGGTCTGGGAGGGTACCATTCATTTTGACTATTACTTTTTTTGTTGTTGTTGAATCGTTAGGTACATATACTGCTCCTCAGCTGGTGTTTATCTCAAAACTGATTATTTGCCCCACTACGAGGTTAGCATATATCTTCATCTAATTTTCTTATTCGAAATTGTGATTTTCTCTAGAAATCCATTTGTGAATGTGTTGTCATTCAAAATGTGTTTGACAGACTGATGAAGTTGACCTAAAGAGCAGGCACAAAGGGAAGCTGGAGACAGAAAGGTTATTGCAATCACGAAGCAGCGTTAATTGGACTGTTATAAGACCAGTCTATATATATGGTCCCTTGAACTACAATCCCATTGAAGAGTGGTTTTTTCACCGCCTCAAAGCCGCCCGCCCAATCCCCATTCCCAATTCTGGAATGCAAGTAACCCAACTTGGTCATGTTAAGGTTAGCAAAATAGTAAGAGATTGGAAATGAATAAATCATTAAAAACCTGAAAATATATTCTCTTAGTTATTATTATCATGATCAACATGTCTTCCTATGATGTTTTACTTTTATTGTCATGGGTGCAATTTTTTAAATTGGGCAATAATATCCCGCCTTGAGGCGCACCTTGCAGATTTTCCGGTGATTTGCGATGAACGGCGTATTCCTTTTGACGACATAGCAAGGCTGAGGCGTAGGCTCTAAGGCGCATGCAATGCAGCATTGCATAAAAAAGTATGCAATGGATGGGAGGCTATTAAATAATTATTTGACTCGTCTCATCGATTCATCTGCTCCCTCTCGTCGCTCGCCTCTCCCTATTGTCTCTGTATGTGCTTGTCGTCTTGTACTCTCATCTGCTAGCGTGGTAGCCAAGGTAGCGAAGATACTCCCGTCCAGTGGCCGTTTTAGGTGTCAAAATAGCGACCTTAGAGGCTTTTTAGTCCCAAGTTTAAACCATTCGGGCTTCCCATCGGGGTTATTTGCTTTCTTTTAGCTTTTAGAGAATATTTAGTAGTCTTAGAATCCCATATCCAAAAATTTAAGTGGATATGATGAGGTAATAAGATCTAAGGGTGGACTAACTTAATATATTGGAATTAGTCATTTCGTGTGGCTTGACCCAATTGTCTTACGGTCTAGTTAGTGCCCCAACCGATCTTGAATTTGTAGCATTCACTTTTATCCATGCTGAAAAAGATGCAAAGTTTGTACAAATGATACTAAAACTGGAACCAAAAAAATAAAAAAATAAATGGCAACTTAAAGGGCCTAGATTTGTGTATACAGGATCTTGCAAGAGCCTTTGTTCAGGTTCTTGGTAATGATAAGGCAAGGAAACAGGTGTTTAACATTTCTGGAAATAGATATGTTACTTTTGACGGATTAGCAAAGGCATGCGCGAAGGTTAAGTGTTTGTCTTCATCATTCTATTCACAAGTCTCTCTGAAAGGTCTATGTCCTAGAAAGCTGATGCAAGACTACATTTGTCTTTATGTTTTGAAACAGGCTGGTGGGTTCCCTGAGCCAGATATTATTCACTACAACCCAAAGGAGTTTGATTTTGGTAAAAAGAAAGCATTTCCATTTCGTGATCAGGTAATTGTCTGGCAGATGTTTTAAGATTCTTCTACCTGATGATGATTAATGAAAACTTTTTGGTACATAATAATGAGGTGTTCTTTTTCATTTTCTTGGTTACGCGATAAATGTAATTGTGGTTTTCCTGGGGGATGGGGGCTACACAGCATTTCTTTGCATCAATTGAGAAGGCAAAGAGTTTGCTGGAGTGGAAACCAGAATTTGGGCTGTTTGAAGGTCTTACAAACTCATACAACCTAGACTTTGGCCTCGGAACCTTTCGCAAAGAAGCAGACTTCTCCACGGATGACTTGATTCTTGGGAACAGTCTTTTTCGCTAGAGTTAGCCACGGCCTTTGGTTTCTTTCTTACCTTAAGGAACCCTTTCCATTGTGCAGTTTCTTCATTAAAAAGAAAAATTACGAATCTTGTCACCTTGAGTTGATGTAAATGAAATAATAAATGCTTCTAGATACAGTTAGTTTTCTATTTACCAGTTCTATGATATTATTATGTCTAGCTGACACGCCTACAGTCCTACACATGTCCGCTTGTGAAGAGTGCTAAGTGCTAACCATGGCATATTGATAGTTTTTTTACCATAAGCATATTGATAGTTACGTAACAACAAAATATATATATTTCTTGTTTATACGTTTGAGTGTTTTGAACTTTTTGTTTAAAAGTCTGTTTTGATCTTATATATTGACTTCGATAAATAAATTATGTTCGTTGCATGACACATTAATTTGACTCCTATTAAGTGATGATAAATTTGGTTGGAATGTCAATTATATGGAGTGCAACAAAAGTGATCAAAAATGACTAATTGTGTAAAGAGTTTTTCAAGTAAATAACACGTAGTGCAATAAACGTGTAAGAATAGTTTCAGACTTTCAGTCCAACTAGATTAGACCGGACTTCAACAGTTGTAAAATGCACATAGAACGGATATCTATCAAATCGGTTCAGACCAAATCAAACTTACATTGATCAAACATACCATAAAATTATAAAGCAATTAAAAATATCCTAATTGTTGCCTAAATAAATACAAAAAAACAATAATTTGCTCGGGATTTGCAAGACCCAGCACAAATTTCAGAAACTTTAGTATAAATGTTATAAACATGCCAACCATACGTTGATACCACAACCATACAAACACGGTGAAGATATTATTTTGTGCAAAACTGAATTACCTGACATGTCTAATTGTTTCATGACAACTTTACCCCCACCAATTTCATGATGAAATTCCCTTCTCTTGTATATTTTTGTTTTGGCTATGTTTTCTATTACCTCATGTTTTCTCCATGAATATCTAACCACCACACAGAAAAAATATTGCAATGGCCAACCATTTTGTTTAGGAACTTCCATCTCCAAATACTAGACACATTTCCCTCAACAAATTTATTTTCAATCTGCTTCCAAAATAGCTTAGGCCTTTCAATTCCCTCCTCTTCTCCTGGTTTCATCAAAACCCCACCAATTTACCATTCTAGCCTCCTCCAAACATCCATCAAAATCTCCACCAACGACAAGCTCAGAAGAGTTTTCCAAATGTTCGATCAGAACAGCGATGGACGGATCACCAAAAAGGAGTTGAGTGATTCATTGCTGAAGATGGGAATCTTCATTACAAATGAAGAACTAACCCAGATGGTCGAGAAAATCGACGTGAACGGGGACGGGTGTGTGGACATAGATGAGTTTGGGTCGATGTACCAGTCGATCATGGACGAACAGGATGATGATGTGGACATGAGGAAGGCGTCGAGGTTTTTGATCAGAACGGCGATGGGTTCATCACAGTTGACAAGCTGAAGTCTGTGTTGGCATCACTTGGGCTTAAGCAGGGCCGCACGATTGATGATTGCAAGAAGATGATCATGAAGGTGGATGTGGACGGTGACGGAATGGTGGACTTCACTGAGTTTAAACAGATGATGAGAGGGGGTGATTTTGCTGCGTTGACCTAAAAATTTATATGCATGCATATTTAAGTTAGTTACGCTACACCATAGTTTTTTGTTACAAATATATTTCTCTTCGTCATAAGTCTTGTAAATATGGTACCTTTTAGTAGGGGCTGACATTTTACACCAAAAAAACAAAAACCGAACCGATAAAAACCGAACCGAGCATTAAAAAAATCAAACCGAAACTAAACCGACTTAAACGGGACCCGAAAGTTGGGACCCGAACATAAATCGGTTCGGTCACGGTTTTTTGAGTTATAAAATCGGTTCAAACCGAACCGAACCGGATTTTATTAAGTAATATTTAATTATTTTTCCTGCAGTAATAATAGGTAATATATTGTATTTAAGTCCTACTTTTAACAATGAGATCAAGCGGTCCAGTGGTTTAATGTTCGGAACTTGGGGCGCATGCTTCAGTTTTCATCTGGGTTCTCTGATGTGTTACATTGAGAAAGATGTATTTGTTAAAATTGAGAATGAAGTCAGTATGAGGCAATTTAAGAGTATGGCACATTCAAGACAAAGATTGCAGCCTCTCAATTATTCTCCTTCATTTGACACATCAAATTCTAATCAAAATTAAGGTACTCTTTAATTAGTTGTTTTATTTAAATTTTATAGTTTTGTGTATTGTTATATTTGTGATGTATATGGTTTCTTTGTTAATGTGCACCTGCAAGTCACGAATCCTGGTTCTGACACTGCTAATTGGTATTTTATGTAGCATGTCATATACAAAATGTTCTTTTTTTTAAATAATCTTTTGTTAATGTAATTTAAAGAAAAATTGTTAATGTATGAAGTAAAATTTCCTCTTTATTATAGTACTATATGCGTGCATACTCTGACCTCTGATGCCTAGGTCTGCCACTGAATAGTTGGAAGCTATCAATCTAAAATAGCATAGATTTTGATTTATTTAAGTTTTATACTAACTCTGTTACTATTTTGTGATTATTTTATCTTTGCAATATTTTACAGTAAAAAGTTTATAAGTTTTATAAGATTAAATGATTTTTAATTTTTAAAATAGAAATATTAAAATTCATGATATTTTATATCTTACTCGTGAGTATTTCCCCTTAACTACTATCAATAATATTTATTTCACGATAAAGCAGCTAAGTATAAAATAACGACCAACAACAATGACTTATAATTATGATAACAATTTGTGTGTTACTTTAAAAATCAATTTTATGGAAATTTTCATTGAGTTTTAAGAGTTATATTAATTTGATTTAACAAATACATTAACATAATGTAAAAAGGAATGAGAATGATCCAAACACAGTGGTAACTAATTGATTTTTGAAAATACAAGGTTGCATTAATAATTATGACATAAACTCAGGGGGCTAATAGTAATTTTCTCTTATTACTATAGGGGAAAATAATTTAAATATCCCAAACTTTAATGGGTGTGTGACTTGCATATGTAATATATACCCCGAACTTTTTATGAAAATTATTTTCGCATCGCGATTAAATGTTTTTTACAAATACAAATTTATTCTGTCCTTCAGTTTTCCGTTTCCATTATCGAGTTCCATTTTCCAAATGTGAACACATACTTTCAAAAAAAAATCTATTTCATTTTTTCATATATACCATAAAATGATTTTATACATTGTTGATTTGAAACTTGATAAGACCTAAGGTTAAAATTGTCAAATATTATCTGACGCAACTAATAAAAAATAATAGATGTGCATATTACACAATAATGTACTCGCAATTAGAAACATTTGAAATAATACAAAAGGTGAACATAAATGATAGTCCACGAACAACATTTAATAAGTGTCATTTTTCAATAAGATGCTACTTTATCTTTAAAAACAAATACAAACACTAGTGATACTTTGACGTCTCAAGTATTATAATCATGCTAAATTTTTGCAATAGTTTCTCGAACATCATGCATTAGTTGCTATTGAGAGTTTTATTTTCACTTGTACTTGCCACAATATCAAATATCGTATCATCTTGCTCATGCTCCAAGAACTATGTGCCGTTCCTATCTTCCATGCGAATGAAATTATGTAATGCACAACCAGCAGTGAGAACTTGAACTAGTCTTCTCAAGGGCAACCTTTGCTTAACTTTAGAATGGGAAAGATTTCCTTTAATACTCCAAAACACTTCTTGATCATATTACGAAATGACGAGGTCGATAGTTAAAGACAGCTTGCTTACTACGTATTCTTCCTTGGCCGCGATATCATTAGGTGTTAACATTTGGATAGCCGACATCAACAACATAGTAATGACCTATAACTAAGTGAATAACGAATACACATTTATGCTTAGAGGAAATGAGCAATTATAACTTTATTAACACAATTTGCATAATTAAACTATTACCGATTGGCGGATTGGATACCCATTTCCGCCTCTTCAAATTGCATGAAAAACTTAGTCTCGCACTCAAGATTTTAGCTAGAGTTAAATGATGGTTACGTTGATGAGAATAATAATCCCAGCAAATTCTATGACCTTATTTCCCTTACAAATGTTGAAATTTGATTTTATGATGCCCATCAACAGACCCTTGCAATCGCCTCATGAAGAACCTGTTTTTGTTAACTACAATCCTGGAAGCCCGAACAGAACGTTTAGAGCAACCCCAACACTGCACTGTGTAGTCTATTTAAATTTTGCCATCACATAAAATTACACACTACATACCTAATTTTCAATCCAATGCATCTAGCCTTTGATTGGGTTTTGCTGAGTTGGCAATAAAAAAATTGAAAAGTGTGAAGGCAAACGTTCATGTGTAGAAAGTCTCCAAGACACGACGACTCGTCAAATCCGGGGACAGAAAAGGCGTGATTATAAAAAACAGGGATTTGAACGGTTATGATAATTAAATCCAGAAGTTTAATATAAGAAATGTTGTCAAGTTAGTTTCCAGAAAATTGTAGGAATTATTATTCCACCAGAACAAATATTTACGAAATGGCGTTTTCGTTAATTGAAAATGCTAAAAATAGATAAACCATCATCTTTTTTTTTTTTTTGCCTAAAATGCCATTTTTCAAACATCATCAAAGTATAAATAGATCACTTAATGATAGATCCTTAAATCTACCGATAAAATAACAAAACTCTTAATGTTTTTTCCAGTCGACTTAATATCAATAAATTGAAGAATTTTGCTTTAGAGGCACCCTGGGTTACACCCAAGAGTACACCCTATATAAATCTCTCTCTCTCTCTCCCTCCCCACTCCCCCCCCCCCCCCTCATGAATCATTTGCACCCCCTTTCCTCCTACTACTCCCCTTCTTCCTCCTCCTCCTTTTCTCCCCCCTTTTTCTTTCTTTTTATGTTTTATTCACCATCATCTTCCATCATCATCTTCACCATCATTTTTCATCATCGTTTTCACCAACAAAACTATCGTCTGAGAATGACCGGAAATTCATCGGAATGTCATCGGAAAATGAGAGCCGCCAGAATTTTGTTTGTATCGTATATAAATATTGTCTAAATGTGCTAAATAATGATAAGTATTGTCTGCAATGAAAGATGAAACTAAAAAACTATTAACATTGTATAAATTTTCGCCATAGACAAAAAATGAATGTATACAGACACTGGTTTTGTTTCAGTGTCTGTGTACACAGACAAAAAAGTCAGGGGTAAATTGCATTGAAACAAATGTATGTGTACACAGACAAAATTGTATATGCACAAACGTTGTGTTTTGTTTACACAGACAACTAACGACTAATGTATGTGTACACTGACATTGGTTTCGTGCAACCAACCTGACAGATCTGCAAAAAAGTACATCAATCAACAAATAACATTTTGTTTACACCGACAATTTGTCAAAAGTGTCTGTATTTATACTTTTTTTTTCTTTGCGAATGACAAATAAAGTGGTGTAACCCAAAGTATAACCCAAGGTGTTCACCAACACCGATTGTAAATTGAATGGCAAACTCCCAAAGAGCTCGACAATTTAAAAGATTTGGTTTGCACATTTGAATTTATTAGTCTTACACTCGTGCGTTGCACGTGATAACAAAATGAAAAATTATTTAAATGTTACTTAATTATCAAACAATGTACTCAAGATATTTTGTGATTTATTATCTTTGTTCTCGAGTAGAATTGCATGAAGAAATTGATACTAATAATCCCTACCGAAGAAATTGATACTAATAATCCAAACTTGTAAATAGGTTCACATCTTAAAAACTTATAATTGTCAATGAGGATAAGGGTATTTTAGGTATGAAAAATGTGTTGGTGTCATAGATAGCTCTATGAAGTTGTACCATTGGCTTGAAGGATTTTACTGTTTTTCCTCTAAATCTATTTTATGCCAAAAGGATCCCCAACGGGTGTTTACGAATGACTTCACGCCATCCAAAATATGTAGTTATATCTGTCTACCCTTTCTTCGTACTTCGTATTACATATTTAAGATTCACCAAAATATGTTTACCTTGAAGGATTTTACTGTTTTTCCTCTAAATCTATTTTATGCCAAAAGGATCCCCAACGGGTGTTTACGAATGACTTCAAGCCATCCAAAATATGTAGTTATATCCGTCTACCCTTTCTTCGTACTTCGTATGACATATTTAAGATTCACCAAAACACCAAAAGATCGAACAAGAACCCTAATAGAGAGGCCATCGTCCATCGACACCTATAACTCAAGAAGTTATCCGTAACAGGTTGTTTCCTCATATTTGAGAGAGAAATGAGCTTTGATGATTTTGGTATTAATCAATTTAACTCAACTGTTACTAGATGCTCCAATCCAGCTTCTACTATGATGACCAAGTAAGGAGCCTATGAATCTTCTAAAAGAATCGATGGGTGCAATGTTGTATGTAAACTGATTTAGAAACGCGTTTCCTTTGTATTACAAGTGACTGTAAACTGTAATGGGAGGAGAGATGTTCTACTATTATGAGGCACACAAGGTGTTTGTGTATTTGTCTAGCTTAGAGTTTTTGTGTTGGTGATTGTTTGGAAAACATGTAGTACTTAATATTAATGTAATTTAAGAGATTTAGAAGCAGTTTTGTAAATAATATACTTTCACAATTTGTATTTTTTATTGTATGACACACCTTTTAAAGCTTTATTGGAAGGTAAATATCTTTATTTTATACGTATGAAGCAATAGGGGCTTGTCAATTTGTCTCAGTGACGTTTTTTGCATTTTTATTGATGGCTTGTATTAGTGTATCAAAACTCTTAGCATAGTTTAATTGAGAGACAATGTTTTAGAAGCTATGAAAGCAACACTCAATGATTTTAATAGCTTTGCCGGTTCACCTTAGTTATCATAAAAGAGGATTTCTTGTTAGTATATATGTCCTAGCGACAATCACTTTTTAGAGATATATGTACTTGATCACATTCAGTTTTATATATTTGATATATACGGTATTACACATTGATGATTAAGCATTTCGATTGTCATGTCTTATTCATAATTGTGTTCCCTTGGATTTATGTTGTCAATAAGTAAGTGGGAGCTTATATGATATAACATAAGGTCCTAAAATAGCATCAATCAATGATCATCAAGAAAGGGATATTGATGATATGTGATAAGATTGG